TACTGACTGTTTTGTTGTGGAGCCATGACCTCCGGACCCACTGACATGGTATCTCTTGGACGCGGAGCTGCGCTATAACTGAACTTTCGTGCCGGTATCACTCGGGTGCCTGTGATGACCTGCTCACGCTGCTGATCACCGGGCCAGGGTTGGCTTACTATTTGGGATCGAGAAATCGGCCTCGACTGACGGGGAGCAGCGTAGGTTGGCCGGATGTACTAGAGGAGAGAGGAGGAGCAGGAGCAGGTGAGCTATTCTCATTTGCTGACGTCAAAAAGGTATTTTTTATGGAGAATTGAAGTTAAATGAGGACATTTTAGAGGGACTTATGGATAAGAATGGGAGACAAGACGGAGTTTCTTCGATACCCACAGTTTTGCCAGCAGAAACTTCCCCTAACGGCGGCTTCCACTGGATCCACATTTCAAAGGGCGAACTAGACTTCAACACTGCAGGCATCCTATAAGTGTGCTGAATAATATTATGAACGAAGACAAGGGAGACTGGAATGGCCAATTCCGGCTTATTAGCCATCATCAGTCAATCACATCCAAACGTAGGTTTTTGCAACCCCTGAGGCTGGAGCCCTCGACCTGTTGTTCAGAGGTTAAACGCTCTAAACCATTGAGGCATGGGTTCTGTTTGTTGCGAGCGAGTACATTCAAGATGGTAGAGGGGTATTCACCGATCGCGTTTTGGTACACACTCGTTCTCATTAGTCTCACTTTATCATCCTATACTGCATGCCGCTATTCGAATGCCTGCGGGAGCTCTAAATTAAGCTCCAGGAAACAAGGGAATACGAATGTCCCTTGACCAGGGCTCCACACTATCATCATATTCTCGATGGCAAGCGGCAAAACCGGCGGGCCCGTGGCTCAATGGTAGAGTGTTACACTCCATGACCAAAGGGTCGCGGGTTCGAGTCTCGGGCGATTCACACCTGAGATAGGGTGTGACTGGCTAATGACGGCTAATAATTCGGAAATGGCCATTCCGGTCTCCCTTGTCCTTGTCAGTTCCACTTCCTCATATATGCACATATAGGTATGTGCGTGTCATTCACAAAATAACCAGGGTCAAGAAGGATAAATGGTGACAATTGGAGCTGAGATGGTAATTTCGGCTTTGCTCTGATTTTCCTCTGATTGTTACCCTGTTCATGACTGGGGGATGGTCATTGAGACTAACATCCACTCATTTGGCTCAAAAGCCCAACCTTCACAAACAGCACGGAAAAATTGTTTACTTCGAACGTATGTCGTATGTCACTTCTTCCCCGAGTGGAATGTAGTTAAACCGGTCTTCTGAACCTTTTAATTTTATTGAACCTACTTAAACCAACTCCCAGTCAAATATTTGTCTACTACCGGGGCATATAGGAGGAATGCCATCTATTTACCAGGTGGGAGATGATTCGAACAGCGGCTAAGAAATTTGTTACTGTGTGTCTACTTTACGTTACCAATTGGTTTCCCTCCTATACCACATTACATAGTTAGCGAAACTTAACAAACCTCCCCCTTCGGACACACTTCCTTCATCGGTGCACAGTTCTTCTTTGGTATGTTCAAACAGCCATTCGTCAAAACAGTTATGAATTCAGAATGATGGGCGGCCACCCGAAGGTAATTTTTCGGAAAACGCGGATTTAAAATATACTTGTTGGTACTAGGACATTCATCGTCGAGAGTTTACTAAGCAGACATACAAATAATGTTTAGAAAATTTCGCTCATAAGCTGTGAAAGCACTTCGTCTACTGAGCAAAGTTTAATACCGTACTGGCAGCACCCTTACCAATATAAGTATGAAGATGTTGACATGTAAAAAACTTGACATAAAAAGTAGATAGTGACAGTTTTATGCGAAAAAACACCCCCCAATCAAAATAGAGGCTAACATAACGAATACATTTTATGAAGGAAAAGCAGAAAAGACATAGAAAGTTTGGTTGAAATTATGGTAACCCTCAGAAAGGACAGTTTCTGGCACTTTTGGTTGGGTTTAACAAAACAAGAATTAACTATCCGTATAGTTTGTCTCTGATAATATTAGACAGAGTATTTGGTAGAAAGCAGGCTGACGTATTATAAGCATCTCCCTACCCTAATATTCACCTTCAAATAGGGAAACAAATGAAAATTCAAAAGAGATTGAAACCCGCTTACGTCCTGCGTGATTGCATCAACCGGTTGGTTTGAATACAACGATGACTGTTGTTGAGGCTGTTGTTGAGACTGTTGTCGGGAGAACTGAGCATTGCGCAATTCAAGCGTCTTGTGGCTTGTAGTCTGTCCACCGTAGTTGGAGGCTGGTCGTGGCATCGTCTGTATTTTAGGAGCCAATGAACGTCGGATGGGGGGACCCCAGTCCCCAGCTTCCGACTGAGTCTCCAGACGACTTCCACGGCGGTTTACAGGGTATCGTGGCACTACAGTTTGATTAATTAAAAGAGGGGAGTTTTATGGTTGTTATGATAAGGTATGTGAAAGGAGGGTCCAAGTAAGTGACAGTTGTAGCTCTATAGAGCCTATTAATGAAGCATATCTCATTACATGTCAACCGAAACCGCGAAATGTGCTTTCGCTTGAGATCGATTACTTAAGTAGAGTTTTTATACTTATTATCTTGCAGTTTAATCCTCCTAGGATATTTCAGTAACATCAAGATGCTGGCTTTTAAACGAGCTTCTTTCTGACCACTTCCAAAAAGAGTGCTCCGTAAAAAATGCGACTTAAGTATTATGAATTCTTCTCACGGATTTTCAGTCGTCCTATAAAATAAAATAAATTTTATAAAATCCGTGCCCAAACATAGCATTTCTCATACTGGAAACAGTAGTTTAAGTAGTGCACCTCATATACCCCTAGACACGGCATTTGTCTTACGAAAACGGTGGTTGTAGGAGTTTTATGGGTGGGGAATTAGGATAGGCAGTGGCGTTTACTTCAATAATTGTTGTACATATTTTTATTTTATTGTACTTAGAAATGTTGTTGACTTATATTTGTAGATTTTCTCAATTCGTATTATCGTTTATCATATTGCGGAAAAGTCCGATTATCAAAATGCAGGTCTCTTGAAATTCCTGACAAAACAGAAGCGGTGGTTAGAAAGTCGTCTACTTCAACTTCAACTTATTCTACTTTACTTCACTTTCCATTTACTTCTACAAAGTTTCTTCAATGCCTATCCTATTTTCCAACCCCCAAGCCCCTGTAACTACCGTTTCCGTAAGACAAAATGCTGGGAATAGGGTTATATGAGGTGCACTACTTAAAATCCCTTTGCCCTTATACCCATTTGGTAATAAGTGACATCTTCTTCAAATGTGGTAGTGAAATAAAGGGTATCTTTCTGCTTTAAAAAGGTTTCTAATTATGAGACTGTCTAAGACCCTGAAAGGATAATTCATGATACATCGTATCCGCCAATTTTTTAATGTTGCCCACCAAATATACAAAATTGTGCGCACACTCTGAAAACGTTGCTGAGAACCATTTGACCTCTTCTTCATAACGTAGAAAAATCTGAGACTTTCTGTGGACAGAACTTATACAGCATGTAGTTTGGAAACCCCGAATGCAAGTGCAACGGCCAGTAGGATTTCAACTTTTTCGACGATTTAGAAAGTTTTTTCTAACACAGAAAAGCAAACTCGGTGGTTTTTCACAATTACGTCAAATGAATTATTCAAACCTGGCAAAACTCCCTACTAAGCGCGCCTGGTAGTAATCTGGCGGATTCTGGATCGATTGTTA